TCGCGTCGTGTGTGTGTGTGTGTGTGTGTGTGTGTGTGTGTGTGTGTGTGTGTGTGTGTACGCGCGCGCGCGTGTATGTATGTTATAATTATTTATGCAAGTATTAGAAATAAAGTAAATAAAAAACATCTTACTAATAACATAATAACATAATAGCAAATACAAAATAGCTGAATCACATAATCTCTAAAAAATTGATAAATTCATTTTTATCCAATAATTTATTTAAATTAAACAGCTTTTTATTTTGAATATTATTATTATTTTATTATTATTCTAGATAAAAAATATTTCGCATTACAAATAATAAAAATAACATTAAAAATTTACTTAACTGAATGTCTATTTCTAAGAAAATATCTAAGAAAATATGTACGATACAAGAATTGCATTATATACATTCTGACTTTTATGTGCAAATTAAATTAAATTTTTCACTCTTGTCTCGTGCTCCCAGGATGATATCATGAGTTTTATTTCTTCAGATTTTTTGACAAATTTCAAACTACATTTTCTCAATAAAAGGCATTTTAAATTTATATACATCTTTCTCAATTACAATTAATCCATTAAAATTATGAATTGCAGAATATATTTCTTTTCCGGCAAACTGTTATAATTCTTTTCGTGCAAACTGTTTATTTTCTTAGAACAATTCATCGGAGCAACATTCGGATGATACCCAGACCCAGATATTCAATCCAGAATCATCTCAGGATAACACGATAAAGAAATCAGACATAACTGATGCTTACAATGTACCTAAAAAAGCAGACTACGATGCTAAACCCCAAATACCGACTAGCAGGTAAAAAAATACATTATTAACTTTTTAGAATTAATTATAAAATTGCGATCTAATGATACTGAATGTCATCAGATCAAATAAAAAAATAATTAAATCAAATATAATCAAATAAGAATTAAATCAAAATCAAATAAAAACACTAATTTAAAGTTGAATAGGACAATTAAGTCTTAATAAACGTTATGATAAATATGTACGTAAAATATATACATATGATAAATATATAAATATGTATGTATGTAAATATTTTTTAAAAATTGTTATACTAAATTTTTAAACATTTAATTTTACTGATGTTACCAACATTACAATGATTTTTCAACTGTCATAAATATTTCTAATTGCACTTCGTTTGTTAGAGTATTTATTTTTATTAAAATGTTTAATTTTTATTAAACATACTAAATTTTATATTTAATTTGAAGTTGGTATTCTTTCATTTGATTATGTTTTCTCTTTCTGCATTTTTTGGTTTAGCTCCTCGAAAGAACCTTTAGACTCTTCAGTACCTATTGCACTTATGCCAGTATCAAAGACTGCAGAGTGTTATAATATGGATCACGAAAATCGCGGTAAATGCGTAATCTTCAATAACGAGAACTTCGACAATGATGAGCTCGTGCCACGCAAGGGTTCGACATTAGATGCATTAAGATTAGAGAAAACCTTCACGAAACTCGGATTTGATGTTAAAATTCACAATGATTTTACGCACCAGCAGATTATCGACGAAATAGAGAAACGTAAGAGCAATACTTAATATATTTACTAATGTTCGACTCTTCCCATGTTTTCCGCACTTTTTCTCTCTCATTCTAACACAAAATATAAATGGTTTATTTAAATAATTTTGATGTTTGATTGTGCATTTATCGCAGTAAGTAAGCTTGATCACACGGACAATGATTGTCTCTGCGTCTTTACGCTAACTCACGGTATGCAGAGGGATCTGATATGGGCAAGAGATGTCATCTACCAGAGCGAAAGACTTTGGAAGCCTTTCATTGCCAGTAAATGCACGACGCTTGCGGGCAAACCAAAAATGTTCTTCTTCCAAGTAAAACAATTAACAATTCTAATTTTTAATTATCGACATATTTCCGCTTTATTTTATCCGTTTCGCTTACCTCATCTAATTTTTTGTTTAGGCTTGCAGAGGCGATGAGTCTGACAGCAGTGTTCAACTAGCCCCTCGATCTTTAATACAAACAGAAACGGATGCAAGTCCAGCCGGACCAGCAAGTTATGAAATTCCGACTCATGCAGATTTTCTATTAGCTCACAGCTCGGTTCAAGGTAAGCATTCAAATTACTCATCTTAATTTGACTTAAAAAAAAATCTTCCTTATCCAACTCCGAAAATAAAGTGAGAAGTGTGATATTGATTAATTAATTCGTTATACGAATATTGTTAATATATTTCTTTATGTTAAGGTTTCTTGGGATGGAGAGACCCCGAATATGGCACGTGGTACATAAATTGCTTATGCGACGTCATGGACGAGCATGGAACAACTATGGATTTGTTAAACATGTTGACATTAACAGCGCGGAAAGTTGCTACTGAGTACGTCTCGATTCATGACAATATATATTTAAACAATAAGAGACAGGTACCATCTGTGACGACAATGCTGACCAGATCTGTTTATTTTCCACCAAAATCAAAAGATGAATGATTCGAGACAAATTGAAAGAAATTTTTTAGAAGAAATTAAAAAAAAATGTCGAGTTTTTTCATTACTTAAATAATTAAGTAACAATTGCGTTTGATATATAATGACAGAATGAACAAGTTCTATATATATGTATCATGAGGTACATAAGAAATTAGAAAGAAATTATGTTTTCTAAAAGATCGAAGAAAAAGAACATTCATTTTCTTAGTGTAATAACATCAATACATTTCTTCCGAATATTGAATTATTTTGACAGTACGACGTAAATTTGTATCAAAAATTATTATTTCTAAATGATCTACATGCATTTATCTAATTTATAAATTATTTCATATGATATTGCTTTAATTTTCATTGAATTTTATTATTTTAATTTTATACATAAACAAATTTAAATATATACATATGTTTCACATATTCTGAAGTACGATTAATACTATAAAATAATAATGAATATATAATATTTTATATTACAATGACAAATTTAGTCTTACTGACTATTTCTCAATAATGTCTTCATTTTATACTTTATTATTACTTATATATTGTGATGTATTAAACAGTTCCTATTTTAGTTTTCTATATCGTCAACTTTTTTCAATATGTAATATCTTGGAAGAAAATGTAATAAAGAATTTTTTTGAGGAATATGGGTTTGAAAAAATATCTCGTTCATCGTTTTGGAAAATTCTCCGTTCTCATCTTATCCAATTTGTCACTTTTCATTCTTTCTCGTGGTTGTTCGCGTTTCCACTGATCCATTGCAACGTTCACCTGATCTTTCTCATCGCCGTTTTTTTTTCCTTTCTCGTCTCTCTTCTTCTGCTTCGCCTGACCTAATACCTATCCCTGATTGGGCTGTTCAACGCTCTCCAACATTTAATTAAACGTCGATCGCTTACAGTCGAAAACGATACAGCTTGTTTAACGCACGAAAACGGCGTTCCCCATCCGTCGATCACACGCCACCACAACATCGTTAACGCTTTCATTGTTGACGCTACTGTTATCTACGTAATTACCTCCATTCCTGTGAAGCGTAATTAAATTAAAAGAAATTGAACATCATATCGTAAATCCTCCAGTTTATAAATATTCAGTTCACAAATAAGATTAATTATCGATAAATATCAAACAAGACAGCCTGCACATTTATGTAACTTTGGTATTTCTTTCGACATTTGTTTTTGCTATTTAAGAAAGATTTGTTTCATTGCGGAAGATTGCGAAAATCCTATCTACGTTATTGATAAAGGCACATAGAAATTGATATTGCGATATGAGCATATCGGTCGCACCCTTTAGAAACAACTCTCCCTCGACCTGAAGAGCAGGGTCACGGTGCGTCTTCAAGATGGCTTGATGATCGCATCAATTAGTCTTGCAAGAGCACACTTAAGCACGATCGGACGTAACCACGAAGCTTCGCGCAAAAAACGCGGATTGATTTTACCGTGGGTAATAAAAAAATTAGCGTAGCAGATACTATCTAATCAAACATTGATTAGAGGAGGCGTCTAATTTTATAACGACTTTCATCAACGTCTGCAGGTCATAATGCAGATTAAACGTCATTGTCAATTACATCTTTTTCGAAAAACCGAAAGAGATAAAAGAGGTTCTAATGAAAATCTTTAAAAGTGATTAATCAACGATAGCAACGCAGGCCAAAAGCTGCAAATTGTTACATAAGAAAAGAAATAATAACAATTAGCATTAAATTGATTGAAATTTTTTCTGCGAAATCATGATCGCAAGACAATTTTTAGATTTTCCGTAATGGTGTACATTCGAAGTAGAGCAAAACGATGAAATCCATGTCAAAGTGTCAATTGAGGGGATGAGCGGCGAAGACAACGGCCGGAATCATAGTTGAAACCTCCAGAGGACTCTGGACCACGCATTCGGAAGCTGCGAATGGAGCAGGGTAAGGGTGGTGACAAGCGGGGGCGAGAGTCGATCGCGGAGGGAGCCTAAGGACCAGGAGTTTGCGCGAACAGATCAATACGGGGACTACCCCCCGCGCGTGGACATATCGCCCTCTCACTTTTTCTTTCTCTATCTCTCTGTTTTCATCTCGAGCCGCTCCTCTTTTTTCTCTCCCTCTATTCTTTGTTGCGTTTTTGTATTTTATCTCTGTATTTTCCTCATACATCAGTTCGCTGATGTGAGATTATACTTTAATTCTGAATTGTTTTAGTTTCGTTACGTTACACTCGTCACTCTCTTGTATCGTTTTGCTTTCTAATCAATCTCCTTTTTCTTTCTCTCTTTTTCTGTTAATAATCTAATATAATTATGTTAATATCTAATGTAATAATAATAATAATTATACAGGGAGGGGGGCGGCTTATGTACACTCTGAAATTTTTTAAATAAATCTCTTCATATTTAAATTTATTTATCTGTCTATATTTAAATATTTTATATATATATGTATATTGATCCATCTACTCTCTCCCTTGAATCGCGATCCTTACGATCCTCGCGAGCTACTATATGTCCCTTATATTTTAACCCATATTCTCACGCCTTCTATTAATATTCTCGCTCGATTAAATCTCCCGACGACTCTCTTCGCCTTAAGCTCTACGTATCCAGTTCATTCTTGAAATATCCTTGGATTCATCCTTCATGCTCGCCTCCCCGTTCTTGCTTACTAATACAAATCTTTTTTTCTCTAAAATTTACGCAGTTATTATTCTACTCGATACTTTTAATCTCGTAGCATTGACACTGTATCGTCTGTCACGTTAAAACATTGACTTACTCCACACGATTGTCCTTCTTTATTTTTACCAATTTTTTGTCTCGTCCTTACATTCCTACCATCTCTCCTTGCAAATCTTTTCTCTGTTCCACACATATATCGTGAATCTATACTTCCTTCTTGATCGATCTCAATCACGACCCCCAGTTGGATCGGTTCTTCCTCTCTTTCGTTTGTTCGCTCTTTATTCTTATATAAGGTGTCCGGAAGGTATCATTATTTTTTTCAATCACCTCGACAAATATCAAGTTGATATCTCTTCGCAAAAATTTTATTTATTCGTCATTCCTTTTCCAATATTCGGTTTTAAATTAACTTTTTACTTAAAATTCTGTCAAAATTTCCTCACGTTTGTCAAATTCAAATCTACGTAACCGCGCAAAACGTCGATCGATTACGAAAGTACTCGGATTTTCAATTTTCAAGATTTCCCAAGTGAAAAAAAGTTCTTTCGCGTCTCCGATGGATTCTTTTTTTATCGCGAGATCATCTATTTTCCGATTGCACCACCCTGTATATCTGTACCTTGCGCGCGCGCGCGCGCGCGACCGGCGCTCCGTCCTTGTCCGTGACGCGCGCGCTACCCCCAGCGAGGTGGTGGCGGTCCAGCATGTTGGCCGTGCGAGATGCTGAATCCGTAAGAGGGATTCAGTCGTACTGCCTGGGCCCTCTCTGTCGCACGGCTAACGCCCGGTCGGCGAGTGTGCGAGGCTGCGTTCGCGTGCCGCGAGGAGCCGATTTCCTCCCTCGGCGAGAGCTTCTCTTCGTCGGAAAGGAAATCGAGATGCACGGCGGGATGGATACGTCCGCATGAGAGGGGTGCGCTGCGTGATCTCGCTGGGGATAACCGGTGGTAAGTAGTACGACGTCGGAATTTCGATCCCTTATTCTTCTTCTCTCTCTCTCTCTCTCTCTCTCTCTCTCTCTCTCTCTCTCTCTCTCTCTCGCTCTCGCTCTTACTCTTTCAAATATCATGTCAATATATAGTTTGTCATACTTTTCATTTTTATAAAAAAATATCTCGTTTATATCGTTTTCATCCGGTTACATCGACAATCTTTATATCCTTTTCACGAGATTTTTCTCCCACAGTATATCAAATATAATCTCTCTCTTTCTCTCTCCCTCTATCTCTATCTATCTATCTCTCCACTTCTCCCCCTTTAGAAAGCCGGCCTTCAGCCGTGATATTCTCAATTGGGAATATCCTGTTGAAAAATTCTTCTACATTTGTTCAGCCTTGAAAGATGCTTTTGCATAAAATTATCGTCGGTCGCCTCTCATACCTTTTTCTTCGCTTTCCCTCACCCTTTGAGGGCTGCTTACCCTTCATCACGACCAAGCGCGTATTAGCTTGTTCCTCTATTTTTGCGTTGGTGAGATAATGAGATCATAGGCGTGAGCACATTATCGACAAAAGATTACTTCCTACCTCAAACAAGTAAATTTACTCGCTATCAGTATGGCGCTTTTAAAGTGAGATATGAAATATCCACGGAATATTAAAAAAAATTTTTAATTTGATCTAATATTTATTAGTCTCACTGAAAATTTGATCAAGCACCATTTATTCATCAAATTTGTGATGCACAACCTTAAATATTTTCGTTATCGCTTGATTGCGATCACGTTGTTTACTTTTCATGTCTAAAAATGTATTTGCTGCAGCAAGCAAAATAACTGCACATTCAACTGATCTCGCAATTCTTAAAACTTGATCAGGCTATACGATCCAAATATTATCTTGTTTTGTGATCGCATCGCTGCATACTCTTTGAAATATGATTTTTGGCTGAATCAAGAAATTACTATATAGGAAAGAAAATGTGCAAACATATAACAACTCAAGCAGGAAAAGAAATATAAATAGACGAGAAAAAACGATTCTTAAAATCACGGGAAGATTTCCATATAATTCTTTAGCACACAGCCGGAATAGAATAGATATTATCGTAGAATTATTAGCACAAAAAAATGCACAAAACAATTTATAACAAGTTCAACGGCATTATTATATACGTTCTAATTATACACAATATCACGAGATCCACCAGTTCTGAAGATATTCACAGATCTGAAATTTATAATAAAATCATTAACGCGTGAATATTTAGCAGACTTTTTTGAAAAGCTGAAATCGAGTTTGAGAGAAGAATCTTTCAAGGACAAGAGGTGGAGTCCGTCTCACGGACACCATGGCGAGCAAACATTTTTAACAATAAACTTTTTGTTTAATGAATCAACACAATAATCATTTTTCGAGTCACGACCCCCCGCAATACTGTACCCGCATCCGCCAAAGTTTTATTAAAAAAAGTTTTATTATAAAAATATATAATAAGTTTTATTTTGTTATTTTATTTTTATTATTTTATTATTTTATTATTATTTTATTTATTATTTCGTTTTATTTATTTTATTTTATTTAATATGATATTTATCATGGCTTTTGAATATAGAAGATACGCAATTTTGCTGCTTGGCATTTTTTGCACAGATTTTAATCATCTTTGACCCAAACATTTAAATTTGAGGCTTAAATCAACATATTGTTAAAATCATTTAAAAATGTAATGAAAACAAGTCTTTATTCTTATTTCCTGAAGCTTGATTTGCGGTTATTTATCGCGGTTTGTTATCTTAAATGATTTATTACCTTAATTTCAAATGTGAAGATAAACAATACTTATCCTTTGAGGCTTTTTTGTCCTGTTTTTTAAATACATCCTAATACATAAATAAATACACAATAAATCATCAGATATCACCATTTTGTAATGTGGAAATGTCGCTGCAATCAAGTATGTTTATCGATTATTGAAGTTTAAGTATATAACTGTGACATGCGTCTCTATATAGCGCGGATGTTAAATAGATCACCAATTGACGCGATTGTATTCTAAAACTGTCCACGTGCGAGCGCATTCGCAAAAGCGCACTTTAAACGCGGGTTTTAAAAGAGAACGTGCCGATAGTTTACGAACTGGGATAGAAACGAGAAACAAACGCGGCAAACTCACACCCGCGGACGTGTACGTACAACATTAATAATTTAATCTACAAACGGGTTTTTATACATCGTCGGAATGAAAGACTCCGACGCGCGTTCGATCCAATTCGATTTAAATTTTTTTGCGATCGCACCGTGTGAATTTTTCATGAAAATTTCGCGTTAGG